CGGCGCCCCAGCCCCGCCGGCCCCCCTCCTCCAGTTCGTCCCTGAGCAGCAGCAGTTCTTCCCCTCCTGCAATTCTCCTCCAATTCCAATCAGTGGCTGATTCCAATGCCTCCAATTTCTGGATTTGTTTCTATGATGGACCATATGCAAGTTTTAATTTTTCTGTTTCTTTGTTTTCTTATACCGTAGATGAAGAAAAATAAGATGGGAAGGCAACCGCAAAGTTATATTGTAAGGTGGGATATCAATCATATCATCATTTTATCAATCAAAAGGTACTTTTGTATCCATGTCTTTTTTATAATTATTATGGTTTGACACATTAAAAAATTCTATTGTCATTATGGCATACTATTTTGTTCATATATTGCAATAGCCGCACTATTGGTTCAGATATTGAAATTCTCGTACTATTTGGTTCATATATTGCATTTAGAGTAAAAAAAATTGGGTGAATACCCAACCAGCAATTCCTGGCACCGCCACTGCTATCCAATTGATGAAGCGGCGTTGATAGTTGGGCCTAATACCAAACAGACATCGCAGCCAAACCTAAACATCTAAGACCTGAGGTCCCAACCAGGACGCCTGCCTGGTATGGGTTACCTACCAGTCCGGCGCACTACTCAACTAGGACGTCTGCCGGGTCTGAGGCCGCCGCAGCCACCTGCCACGAGTCCATCTTCAGAGTTGTACTGTTGCATCTACCGTGCCAGGTCTTTCTGCCATCGACGCCACCATGACGCCCGACAACGTCGTCCTCCTGCGCGAGTCCATCCTCCCACATCGAACTCCGAATCTGCACTGCGCCACGCCTCAAGATCTGTCGCCATCAATGTATGGATGAAGCAACACTCCACCAAAGAAACCGTCCGCTGGTCCCGCGACGCAAGGCGCAGCACCAAGTAGAAGGCCAAAGTCACACCACCACCACGACAACCAGCAGCCCCGCCACCAGGAGCTGTTTCCAGCCGCCGCCTTCAAGAAGGATAACGACACCAGGGTGCCGTCGACGCCCAGAACAGGGGAACAAAGGCTTTCGCCATAGCTCGACGAGGAGGCGGAAGGGAGAGGATCCACCCCAAAGCCTCCAGGAAGGGGATCGGCGCCAAAGGCGTCAACTTTGGGGAGGCCGCCGCGCCAGCCAGGGGTTTTCCCCGGAACTTTACCCGCACGCCAGATCCGCCAGGCCGACAATGACGCCGAAAGCAGCCGCCAAGGACCGGCGCCAGCACGGATCGGGACAGATTGAAGCAGGGGCAGATCTTTTATATGGAGCCATGACGGATTGCAAGGATCCGCCACTGCGCCAGCGTCCGCAGCCCCCACGCCGCCCACGCGGCCGTGGGAGGCTGCCCACCAGAGCCCGCCGGCGCAGTTCGCCGGCTGCACCGCACCCAACGGCCGGGGCCGCCGCCCCGGGAAACCAAGGCCCTCCAACGGAGAGGAGGCGCCAGATCCCGCCGCCACCATCATTGGGGCCGAGCACCCGCGCCTCGGAGGCCCTCAGGAGGCGGCGGAGGGAGGGGAGGAGAGGGGGGAACGCGGCGGCGGCGCTAGGGTTGGCCCCCGAGTCGCCTCATCCCTCAGAGGAGGCGACACGGGGGGAGCGGGGGAGCTGTTTAGTCTGCAGAACACCATAGGAAGGATCGATTTCTTGTGAGGGGTGCGGCAAGGCAAGACGTACTATTAGTACGTAACCATAGGGAAGGATCGATTTGGCACCTTGTTATTTTCTGTGGCTCGGTGCGTTGTTGAGGGGTCCGGCGTTGGTTGCTTGTGCTTGGAGGAGTGGGCAGGTGGGTGGAGTAGTATACTACTGTGCAGGTACAGAGCCGTGTGCGCGTGGAGGTGCGGGGAGCGCCTCAGAGCGCGACGGGGCCGGTGGGCCGCGCGCGGTGGCCAGTGGCTGGGACGGACGACCTCGCCGGGTCCTCTCGTCGATCGTACGTCCACGTGCATGCCGGGCTGAGTGAGCATTGACCGACTGACTTTGGAGATCCATGGACCGATCTGGCGTTGGAGTGTAGCGCACTGCGTCGCTAGCTTTTGCCTATTCTGGGATTCGATTCCCGAGTCCGGCGGGCCTCATCATCATCATCGTTTTTCCGACGGTGGATGCAGACGGTCGGTCCAATTCTGCGCCCGCAGCCAGTCAGCCGTCAACCACGTACGGCCCGGAATTAGCACGAGGAAGGAAGGAACGCCACAGTACGAGCCCGCTGCAGAGTTTGCTGGGGAATCGGATGTACGGTTTGGTCACCACGGGCACGGACGCGGCTTCCTGTTGAGGAACCAGACTTGATTGTTCCGTGTGAGATGCCTGCCTTTGAAGTTTGAAACTCCGGCCGGTCGCCACATAAGGAAACCAGTCCAAAAGTTGGCAACCCTTTCCCACGGTTGAAGAGATGAAGCTCGATCACCGCAGACCAGACCATTTCTGCCTTCCTCGGGAAATGAAGTCTAAGTGCGTGCTTGCGTGATCAGGGACAATCCATTTGTTCTCGACACACACACACACATGCATCTATCGGAACCTTGAGAGCCAAGGATCTCCGTCAAAAAGGCGCACTACTCTCGCTATGGAAATGGAAGCGTGCTTATTAATTCCATCGTGCACTAATCAGCCAGCTCTCACGTTCTTCCGTTGCTAATGAATGGATAAAATAACCCACAGAAAGGTGTTAGAAGAAGAAAAATCTTGTTGAACCGGTGACGTACGCGTCAACTGTCCATGCGGTGCGCGAACGGAGCCAGAGAAGTCACCCACACACCGCACCGATAGCTACACTTGTTGTTAACAATGGCGGGTCGAGACCAATCGCCCTGCAGATTTGCTATTAGCAGTATGTATGAACGAATTAAAATGTGTGCTCGTGGATCATGGATGACGTGCTACAATGAATTAGGTCCTAATCAGATGTTAGGACTCGTGAACGACCTAGCATATATATATAATCAAGTAGTGTAGCAGATACATTGAGGAGTGCAGCCGCGGGTAAACCGCGCGCACGGTGGCGTAGTGCGTAATCAGTCAGCTGAAAAGCAAAAGGCTGTGAGATTTTATGGTCAGTAATAAAAGGTGGATTTGACAGTTTTTTCCCTTTCGGTTGCATCCATACATCGCTGTGTCTGGCTGCTGCTGCGCGCACGGTGAAGAGGAGAGCCGTGCGCGCGTGGAGGTCTGGCGAATCGGGACGGAATGACGCGCGACGGCGATGGGGGACGGCCGCAAATCTGCCGGGCGCTGGCCGGACGACTTTGCCGAGTCGTGCCGGCTCGTCCGACGTACAGGTCCGGCCGGGCTGGCCAGGGCCAGCTATCCAACATTGCCTACGTACAGCTCCAGTGAAGTAATCCACGACAGAGGAGATAGTTAGCACGTAACCCAGCAGTGGCCAGAAGCGGGACTGTGACTGTTGTTGAATACTCTACTTGGATGCTTCTAGCTGGTTCCCCTTGGCGACTAGCCAGCGGTAGCGCAACAACTGACTTTGGAGCTGTAGAGATCCATGGACCGATCTGGCTTTGGAGTGTAGCGCAGTGCTGTCGCTGGCTTTTGCCAATTGTATTGTGGGATTAGATTTAATCCCAACACACCCGAGCCTCATCACCATCATCATCATCATCATCGTTTTTGCTACCGCGACGGCAGACGGTCGGTCCAGTTCTGCGCCCGCTGTCGGTCAGGCGTTATGGCGACCCGCAGTTTTTGTTATGCAGTTAACAATGCATTAGGTCGTAATCAGACTCGAGAACGAAGTATACACTATGTGGAGATTTTATAAGCAGATATAACAGTGAGGAGTGCAACCGTGGGTAAACCGCGCGCACGGTGGTGCAGTGCGTAATCAGCCGTGAAAAGCTGAAAGCTCTGATATTTTATGGTCAGTAAGACCAACTTCCAACGCAGTGACCCAAACGTATACTGATTTTCTGCTTTTTGTCCGTTTAGATCATCTGTCTATCTAGCGGACATGCGGCGGACATGCGGCGCACC